ACCGGAGGGCAAGGCATCTTCTCCAGGACTGTTTACAGAAAGGGAAGGGAGAGAGCAGGAGATATGTGGAAGAGAGGTTTTCAATAGATGTCTATGAGCACATGGGGCAATCTAGCAGAAGTTTTGACAAAAACAAGGCATGTCCTCAACAGGGGTAGGATTTGAATCCAGAGCAGCACAGTAGGGAGGCGAGGACCCATGAACCCCTACAACAAGGTTTGGGAAGCCAGAGCCTGAGGCAAGGGACAATCTCCTGAGAACGACAGAAGCAAGGTGTTCAGCCCGGAGTGGGGGTGGGGGTGTGGCGCTGGAGGGGCTGAATCAGCAGGAGAGCCAGACTCCGGTTCCACTCTGTAGGTGTGTGAGAAGGAGAGAACATGGGGTGAGGCTGACCAGTCAGGGTGGTTCTGCTTCTTCCCCGCCTGCCTTCAGCAGCACAAGGACAGCTCCTGGGTGGATGTGAGGCTCACACAGGGGAACAGACTGGTGCTTGTTTGTCCAGACACCTGGGAGCTCCAACAGAAGACACAGAGTGGGGATGCTGAAGGGGCTGTAGGGCAGGGACTGTGGGCATCCTTCGATGGTGGGGGCTCTCCTGCTGAGGGGAAGGAAAAAAGAACCAAGTAAGGGCTGCACTACACCAAGCATGGTTCTCTGGGGGATCAGGACAGCTTTGGAGATGGGCAGGGCGGGAGAGAAAGACGTTCCCTGGCTTGTGATTTCCTTGGGGGAAGACTGAACTCATGGAACCTGTAAAGACCCCAGCCAACACTAACTTCTATTGTATCCACCGCATAGGCCCGCACCAAGCACCTCTGACAGCTACGGACACACTGGGCTTCTCTTTGCAGACAGAACTAAGCTTCCGGTTCTTCTCGTGATGTCAGACTTATCGCTCCCACTCAATCTTCTGCGTGGCTCCGTTTGTCCTGCCTGGAAAGCAAGCCCAAGTTCTGAAGTTAACTCACCTAGGAAAACGCATGGGCATTAACTGGGAACCCAGTCTGGAATCAAGGCGTCTCTACAGAGGAACAGGGGATGCATCCTGCAGCCGGACTTAATGTAAATACAGCTAGATCGTCACTTGGCCATCGTAGGGTTGGGACACTTGGAGAAGGTGAAAGCTGGTTCTGTGGTGCTGTTTGGGCAGTGTTTCATTTTAATAACACTGGAGCCCGGCTCCCCCCCCCCCCTTTCCCACTCCCTTGGTTCTCTTCCTACCCAGTCCTTCTTCTTTCCCTTCCTTCCTTTCGAGGAACATTTGTCGGAGCTTGCTGTGAGCTGAGCAGAATCTAGACGAAAGAAACACAATGGAAACAGAGAGGGGAGAGGGGAGACAGGCTGGGTCCCCAGCCACCTTCAGGCTGCTGCCTGCTCTTGCTGACTTCATTTTTCTTTGGCTCAATCTAGGGCAGCAACATGCTGCAGGGTGGAGAATGCCCCTCCAGGAGAAAGCCCAAGATGATCAGTCACAGCAACCCCGAAACTGGGCTGCAGGAGGAGAGCCTGTGACCTAGGCCTGCCCAGTGGTGCCCAAGGGGAAATGGGCTGGGGGGTGGTGGTGGTTCTGCTCCTTCAGCGGGCAGGAGCTCACACCTGCCTTCTTCCCTTGGAGGCTGTGAGAGGAAAGGATGCTCTAGTCTGTGGCAGTCACTTAGGAGGCAAAGGACAAAGCCAGGTGAAGTATAGAAAAGCCATCGTCAGTCTCCTCCATGTCACTGAGGCTCTGAGTTGCCTATTGGTGAAAGAGTGAGCTACCTCCCTGTGCTTCCTTCCGATGGCCATTTAAGCGTTCTGTAACCAGAGGCGTCCTAATCGTTATGGGGGAGGGGGATCAACATTGTGATTTTCTGTCACTCGTAGCTCTGAGCCTAAAAAATCCTACAAGGCAACAAGGGAACACATTGCAGAGCCTCTTTTAGGAAGAGTGTCTTAGACTTTTGAGTTTTTGTATTTTTAGTCTTTTGAGACAGAGTCTCTCTGTGTAACAGCTCTAGCTGTCCTGGAACTCGCTCCAGGCTAGCCTCAAACTCCACAGAGATCTGCTTGCCTCTGCCTTCTGAGTGCTGGGATCAAAGGTGTGTGCCAACATCGCCTGGTAACCTTGAGTTTTTTGACACTCAACTTCTACATGGTATTATGAAAGGAGCCCCAGGATATTAGTTGTGGGGTCCAGGATAACTGTGTGTCCAGGGAAAGCCATTTTCAGGGGGCTCTTCCTCAAGAACTCTAGGGTTCAGATATAAAGGGAGAATCAGGTGGGGCCAGAGCTGTCTGCTGGCCCACGAGAGTTCTATGGATGAGGGGAACCGAGCTTAGGGGGCTGGGAGGTGGGGCTGTGAGGGAAAGAACTTCCCCCATGGAGCAGGGGAGAGCCGTGTGTAGGATTCCCAGACAGTGAAAAGGAGAGAGAAAAAATATAAGCTGGTAGAGAAGTAGATGTGGCTAGGGGAAACCTTGGGCCTAGGCAACAGTTCTTAGGGACCTTGGGGCGGGGAGAGCTTTACCCCCATGTCTCAGGTCCCTTCCTGTAGTCACATCAGTGTTTCATAGTGGTGACCTTTGATGTTTATCTGGTCTCAAGGAAGTATGGTTTGTTGGGAAGTGTTCAAGCCCCCCCCCCCAGGTATCTTACCTTTGAACACAGAGCAGCCTGAAGCATCCTGATAGTAACAGAATAGGTAGCATTTGACGATGAAACCAGTTCAGAAGGAGCCTTCACTTTGCAGAATAATCACAATCAATTTTGATGGAAAAGAAAATAAGCAAGAAGAAAGATCAAAGCTCTGTGGAGGTCAATAGAAGCCGCAAGGAGGAGGGAAAAGCAGGTACGTTTGTGACAGTCCCACGGGTCTCTTTACAGTGTCTTAAAGGCACTGACACCATGTGTCATCAACACACACACACACATACACACACACACACACACACACACACACACACACATGTCCAAGTGTCCATGCACATGTGAACGCATATGTGTAGAGGACAGAGGTTTACATTGTGTTTCCCACAATCGCGCTCCACCTTATGTTTTGAGACAGGGTCTCTCCCTGAACCAGGATCTCACCAAGTCAGCTGGCCTGGCCACACAGCAGGCACCAGAGAAGCCAGAGAACCCTCCA